GATTTTGCCTTCCATGGACCAACGATTGCACAAGACCATGGACGAAGATTTGGTAAGCAGTGCTACTGCCGGCTACTGCAGAATTCTCGCCTGTAATGGTGTGTGGGTATTGACTGCCCTCAAAATTGACAAGCCCTGATGATCCAGTCCAGAAGCCCCTTCATCTCCCCGAGGTACTGCTTCCTTGGATCACCCCCAATGCCAATTTTTGCATCAGTCCTGGTTCTTAGTTGCAAGCAGCAGAAACCAACTTCTATTGTTTAACAGAAAAATTGGGTAGATCACAAAATCTCCAGGGGGACCAAAGCACCAGAATTGATGACTATGAATTAAAAGAAAAAAATCATAGCCCCCAATTCCACCAAAGCACTAAACAGGAGAATACCCCCTTGCTGTCATCTCTGGATGCTGTACTTGTTTCTTGTCTTGCCTCAGAAGTTAAACACAAATCCTAACCGCCATGATACCCTTGGACATGCATGTGGCTGCTGTTGCTCCTGCTAGTATCGCTGCTGTCTACCAAAAGAGAGCCCTTCTTCGTACCCAATTCAGTGTGTGTAACTGACTGATGGTTCAGAACATACATCTCTACTTGAAAGGTAGTCTGAGATCATGATTACAGAATCATTTTTTAAAATGCTCAGTTTTTTATTTACTTGAAATGCAGAGAGAGGGAGAGAGGGGGAGAGAGATAGAGAGAGACAGAGAGAGACAAAGAGACAGAGAGAGATATCTTCTATCCATTCGTTCACTCCCCAATTGCTCATGGCAGCTGGGGTTGAGCCAGGCTCAAGACATGGGCCAGGAACTCCATCTGGTTTTCCATGCGGCTGGCAGGGACCCAAGCACTTGAGCCTTCAAACACCACCTTCCCAGCATGAATTAGCAGGGGATCAAAGACTTGAACCGGCGCTCTATAGAGGATGCAGGCACCCAAGTGTAGCTTTACCCACAATGCCATGCCCCTCTAAAACAGTTTCTGGTTATACATAATATGAAGATCACGGATTTATAGCAGGCAGTTTCTATCTTAGGAGATATGAGAGGGGCCGGCGTTGTGGCGTAGCAGGTAAGGATGCCACCTGCAGTGCCGGCATCCCAGATGGGCTCTGGTTCCAGTCCCGGCTGCTCCTCTTCCTATCCAGCTCTCTGCTATGGTTTGGGAAAGCAGTGGAAGATGGCCCAAATCCTTGTCCACTGCACTTGCGTGGAAAGACAGGGAGGAAGCTCCTGGCTCCTGGCTTCAGATCAGCATAACCAACTGGGGAGTGAACCAGCGGATGGAAGACCTTTCTCTCTCTCTCTCTCTGCCTATCCTTCTCTCTGTGTGTAAATCTTTCAAATAAATAAAATAAATCTTTAAAAAAAAGAAGGTAGGAGATTCTGCTGACTTAGAAAAGGGGTCAGTTATTATGCAGTCCAAAACAAATGCTCATTTAACTGAAGTGGGGATGACACTGACAGAAAGAAATCATTTCATCTGGTTATTTGTGTGAGCTCAGATAGCACAATATTGGACCAAAAGTCTGTGTCTTTACCTGTGAGTATGTGTGTGTGTGTGTGTGTGTGTGTGTGTTTTGTAAAATCCCAGGAAGCCTATCATTGAATAGTTTCTAGAATACACACACACACACACACACAGAGCTGGCCATTTCAGACCACACTCACCTGACACTACAATGCACTTGATGTCCCCAGGGCACTTGTTGGACTTGTAAAAGCCAAACCAAAAGTGACATCTCATCAACTCCAAGTCCAAAGGCACCTGATGCTTTCCAGGCCAAGCTGGGTCTGGGGGTGGCCCTGGGGAAGGGAGAGGCCCAGGCCAGCCTGGGCTGTGTAGATTGCCCAGTTGGGGGGCTTGGCTGCTAAGGACTGCTCTCCATCAGGGCTGAACCACAGCCTGTACGCGTGGGCCACGCCAGCCATGCACCAAGCAATTCCCAGGCTCAGATGCCTCTCTCAGAGCCTGGGAGATTCTGCCGGCCGACAACAGCTGATACAGACAGATTGGTTTAGAGAAAGGGACTGACAGCTTGTAATGACCTTATTCCCGGGCCTTGTTGGAATGGCATGTAATCACGCTGCTGGGGTGTGTGCAGAGGGATTTGATGAGTGGCACTCACCACACCGATCATGCTACGATGGCTTGCAGCCAGCAGGAGGAGGTGGAGGTGGAGGTGGAGATGCAGGCAGAGCAGACGGTGCCCAAGAAAAGCGTGTGGCGGAGTGGGCGGGGTTGAGTGGGCAGCAGGCAAGACGCTGGATTGGACCAGGTGTTGCCTGGCACGCTCAGGGCCTCATGAAGTTGCACTCCGCCATTGAGGAGTTTCCAGCCTAATTATAATCTGGCCACCAAGCTGTTTTCCCTGACGTGTGCCACCCCAAGTAGGCTTGGCTGGATCACCCAAGTGCCAGGGTGTCTCATCCATGGACAGGAAATTTATGGGCAGTTCCTGGCCCGATCCCTAGGACTACTTGCAGCCAAATGGCAAGCAGGAGGGGAGTGTGTACTGACTGTAGTGGCTGGCCGGCTCAGCCTCGTCGCCAGGTTGGACTTGCTGGTCTGAACCCACTGTTCATCCCCTCCTCTCCTCCTACTCGCTCCCCATGATGCTGTTCTATCTGCATCCCCACACCTGCTCCCCCCCTCTCAGGCATGCATGTCCCAGCGCAGGCTGCCCTCACTTCTCTGGGAGCAGCCCGGAAGCAGGTGCAACCGACAGCTGAGCCTTGGGGGACCCAAGGCACAAAGGTTCCTTTGTATCTATGTTTTTAAATAGTTATTTATTAATTTGAGAGGCAGAGTTACAGAGAGATGGAGAAACAGAGAGAGAGAGAGAGAGAGAGAGAGAGAGAGAGATCTTCCATGCACTGGTTCACTCCCCAGATGGCCACAACAGCAAGGGTTAGGCCATGCAGGAGCTAAGAGCCAGGAGCTTCATTCAGCTCTCTCACATGGGTAGCAGGGGTTCAAACCCTTGGGCCACCTTCTGCTGCTTTTCCTCGGCCTGTTATCAGGGAGCTGGGTCAGCAAAGGAGCAACCGGGACATGCACCAGCACCCATATGAGATGCCAGCATTGCAGGTAGTGGCTTAACTGACTACAATACAATGCCAGCCCCACGAAGGTTTCTGAGAAGGAATGTTTTGGCACTGTGAAGACACACCCAGCAGCCAAATAGCACATGCCACAAAAATTCCAGGAAGCTAGCCATGGTCGCTTACACGGAAATCGACCTCAGCCCAATCTCTCGACATTGGCCTTGAAGACAGAAATGGCGGTCTGTGCAGTGGGAGCCCAACCATTTCCATTCATTCCCATCCTTTCCCAGCTCCCTGCCGCCTGCTTCCACTCCCCTCTCCTGCCCCCGCCCCACTTCTCTGCCCTCCTCTCCTCCTCTGGATCCTCCACACAAAGCAAGCCTTTCCCCAGTCAAGGCCAAGTTCCCTGCGGCCCTGTCTCACTGGAGTGGACCAGAACACTCTGAGCGCCAATCTGTTGCGTAGCACCCAGGTTGCTTGGATACAGCTCTTGGTGACAACGGGTCTTTGCCTTTGACTACTTATGCATAGAAGCTGTGCAGTGAATATCCCTGTGCAGAGGGATGTTGGGCCAGAACCAACTTCCACAATCTCCTTTTGAATGGTCCGGGTGGTGGTGAGAGTGGGAAATTGTTTTAAAGGAAAAGAGACCTCGAAATTTTTTTTAATGCTGATCTACAGGTAAGACTTAGCAGTGATAAAGAACCCACTATAGAGTGAGAAATGAATCAACATCTCTTGGTGAACATAGCTCTGGGGCTGTCTTCCTAGCAGAATATGAAGGGACCGAGGGAAATAAAGCCAGGAGCATTAGGAAAAAATAATTTCTGCTTCTCTCCCCCATGTATTATCTCCTGTACCTGCGATTCATATAACCGAGAAAAGTGGTGGAGAGTGTGCATGTGTATGTGTGTATGAGAGAGAGAGAGAGAGAGAGGAGAGAGCTACACTCAGAACTCAGGTTCTCTAACTCCATTCTTTGTCCTTTGTCCTGTCATTTTCCCAACACCTAGAGAGCAGGTGGAGGACTTCCTAGAATACTGAGAAGCAGTTGGGATTTCAAGGGGTCTGACAGCTGAGCGTGGGGGATGTGGGCCCCTCCTTTTCCACTGGGTCTGCTCCTGTGAGCCTGGAGGTGAACCCTGCAGGAGAGAGCCATCCAGCCCAATTCTCCCTTGGAACTTGATGCTTCCTGCTCTCCCTCCAAGGGCTGCCATTGGGGTATGAGGTTAGTGGATGGGGAGAAATACGAACCAACACCAAACATTTACATAACCTCCAGAAAGCTCCATCTGGGTCCTTAGTTCCCATCTCTTTGAAATGCTGGGAGGGCATATCACCCAATACATTCAGAGGAACAGTCCCAGTGCCCTCCTGAGACATACAGAGACAAAATATCTGGGGCTGTGGCCCCGGAATCCCAGAGTCTAACAAATTCCCTGGGTGATTTGTTGAGCCTTAAAGGTAGGCAGACCCCTCTACTGGCTGGTGTCTGAATTCCCTTCCAGCCCTGCATTGTATGTGCAGACAGCACATGAGGAAATAGATGATGGTCCTCAAAGCTAAGATGACTGGCTGTCCTCATGTGTACCACAGGTGGAAGGAAGGAAAACAGCAGGCAAAGGTGAGAAGTCCCTGGGTGACCTTTTTCTTCTTTCAAAGTCTCCTGTGTAATGAGATTGTATTATTTCCTAGGGTTGGGCCAACTCTGGAAACCAGAGTTAACATGTCCAAAGCACCTGGATCCAAAGTGCTTTGGGTGCTCCTTCACTTTCTGTTTTCCTGCACCTTGTAGCCAAGTCGTGTATAAATGTTCAGTCTGATTGCAACTGTGCTATAGGGCATCTTGGTTTGAGCCCAGCATATGCTGCACTGCAGCTACAGGACACTATTGCCCCTCCCCGCCCCCCACCTCCCTCGACCCTACCGAGGTCAGAGCAGTGTTGCATCATAATCAAACATTCCAAGGTCAGATTGGATGAGCAGAGGCAACGCCGCACAGCCTGGGTGTCTCTTGGAGATCACAAAGTATATTTTTAGTGATAGTGTCTAAAAGGGTGATTTTTCCTACTAACAAATCCAGCAAATAGGGAGGGAGTGAAGAGAACCCGAGTTCTCCCATCTACTTGCAGAGGAGACACCGGCATGCCAGTGCAAGCCACAGGCGGGTAGATCTAATTGAAGGTGGGTTATGACCTTGGGAGAGCAGAGAAGACTTTGTAGTTGACAGGTGGTACCTGAGGCACTGCGTCTGAGCCCCACATACAGCACAGTCCAGCTCCGCAGGTAACTCACCTGGATGCGAGTACGCTGCTGCCGTGTCATCTAAACTATATCTGACCCTGCACAAGACAGCATGTTCTAAATTTTCAGGACAAGAGGAACCAACTTGACAACAGAGAATGGCGTCTCTGAAGAGAGGACAAACAGTAACAGGTAGAGACTGATTTCCTCTCGTTGCTAAGGCTATGATGACGCTGTCTCAATGATCAGGTAGGCTCAATGTGACCTGAACCAGGTATGTTCAATGTAATGGGGACTGGGTATTGTTGATATGATGGGGATAAGGTATTTTCATTCCGATGATGGGATGAGTTATGATCAACGGGACCTGGATGACATACACTCAACTAATAGCAACCAGGTGAGCACCATGTGACCTGGACCAAGTATAATCAATGTGATATGCACCAAGTTTACTCAATATGATGGAGGCCAAATACAATCATTGTGATCTGCACCAGGAATACTCAATGTCAAGGACATCAGGTGTGGTCAGTGTGACCTGACCTGGACATGTAAACTCTGAGGGACCAGGTGAGTTCAGTGTGGTGTGTCCTGGACATGTTGACTCTGAGGGGACCAAGTGTGGTCTGTGTGACCTAGCCTGGAAATGTTAACTCTGAGGGACCAGGTGAGCTCAGTGTGGTGTACACTGGACATGTTATCTCTGAGGGGACCAGGTGAGCTCAGTGTGCCTATGCCTGGACATGTCAACTCTAACAGGACCAGGTGAGCTCAGTGTGAAATAGCCTGGACATGTTAATTCTGAGGGATCAGGTGAGCTCAGTGTGGTGTGTCCAGGACATATTGGTTCTGAGGGGACCAGGTAAGCTCAGTGTGGTGTGTCCGGGACAAGTTCACTCTGAGGGATCAGGTGAGTTCAGTGTGAGATGGACTGGACATGTTAATTCTGAGGGGACCAGGTGTGCTTCTTGTGACCAGGCCTCGACATGTAAACTCTGGGGACCAGGTGAGCTCAGTGTGGTGTGTCCTGTACATGTTGACTCTGAGGGGACCAGGGAAACTCAGTGTGGTGTGTCCTGGACATGATAACTCTGAGGGGACCAGGTGAACTCAGTGTGGTGTGTCCGGGACATGTTAACTCTGAGGGGACCAGGTGAACTCAGTGTGGTGTGTCCGGGACATGTTAACTCTGAGGGGACCAGGTGAGCTCCTTGTGACCAGGCCTGGACATATTAACTCTGGGGGACCAGGTGAGCTCAGTGTGGTGTGTCCTGAACATGTTAACTCTGAGGGACCAGGTGAGCTCAGAGTGAGATGGCCTGGACATGTTAATTCTAAGGGGACCAGGTGTGCTCATTGTGACCAGGCCTGGACATGTTAATTCTGAGGGACAAGGTGAGCTCAGTGTGGTGTGTCCAGGACATGTTGGCTCTGAGGGAACCAGGTAAGCTCAATGTGGTGTGTCCGGGACATGTTCACTCTGAGGGGACCAGGTGTGCTCCTTGTGACCAGGCCTGGACATGTTACCTCTGAGGGGACCAAGTGAGCTCAGTGTGACCAGACCTAGACATGTTAACTCTGAAGGACCAGATGAGCTCAGTGTGGTGTGTCCTGACATGTTCACTCTGAGGGGACCAGGTGTGCTCAGAGTGGTGTGTCCTGGACATGTTAACTCTGAGGGACCAGGTGAGCTCAGTGTGCCTAGGCCTGGACATGTTAACTCTGAGGGGACCATGTGAGCTCTGTTTTTGTTCTGGACATGTTAACTCTGAAGGACCAGGTGAGCTCAGTGTGGTGTGTCCTGGACATGTGAACTCTGAGGGGATCAGTTCTGCTCAATGTGGTGTGTCCTGGACATGTTAACTCTGAGGGACCAAGTGCGTTCAGTGTGGAATGACTGACATGTTAACTGGGAAGGACCAGGTGAGCTTAGTGTGGTGTGTCCAGGACATGTTAACTCTGAGGGGACCAGGTGTGCTCAGTGTGATGTGTCAAGACATGTTAACTCTGAGGGACCAGGTGAGGTCAGTTGGTGTGTCCTGTATATGTTAACTCTGAGGGGAACAGGTGTGCTCAGTGTGAACAGGCCTGGACATGTTAACTCTGAGGGGACCAGGTGAGCTCAGAGTGGTGTGTCCTAGACATGTTATCTCTGAGGGACCAGCTGTGCTCAGTGTGACCAGGCCTGGACATGTTAACTCTGAAGGACCAGGGGAGCTCAGTGTGGTGCGTCAAGACATGTTAACTCTGAGGGACCAGGTGAGGTCAGTTGGTGTGTCCTGTATATGTTAACTCTGAGGGGAACAGGTGAGCCCAGTGTGACCAGGCCTGGTGTTAACTCTGAAAGACCAGGTGAACTCAGTTGGTGTGTCCTATAGATGTTAACTCGGAGGGGACTAGGTGTGCTCAGTGTGACCAGGCCTGGACATGTTAACTCTGAAGGAACCAGGTGAGCTCAGTGTGGTGTGTCAAGACATGTTAACTCTGAGGGGACCAGGTGAGCTCACTGTGATATATACTGGACATGTTATCTCTGAGGGGACCAGGTGAGCTCAGTGTGCCTATGCCTGGACATGTTAACTCTAACAGGACCAGGTGAGCTCAGTGTGAAATAGCCTGGACATGTTAATTCTGAGGGATCAGGTGAGCTCAGTGTGGTGTGTCCAGGACATGTTCACTCTGAGGGGACCAGGTGTGCTCCTTGTGACCAGGCCTGGACATGTTAACTCTGAGGGGACCAAGTGAGCTCAGGGTGACCAGGCCTAGACATGTTAACTCTGAAGGACCAGATGAGCTCAGTGTGGTGTGTCCTGACATGTTAACTCTGAGGAGAACAGTTCTGCTCAATGTAGTTTTTCCTGGAAATGTTAACTCTGAGGAAGTAGCTGAGCTCAGTGTGGTGTGTCCTGGACACGTTAACTCTGAGGGGAACAGGTGAGCTCAGAGTGGTGTGTCAAGACATGTTAACTCTGAGGGATCAGGTGAGCTCAGTGTGCCTAGGCCTGGACATGTTAACTCTGAGAGGACCATGTGAGCTCAGTGTTTTGTGTCCTGGACATGTTAACTCTGAAGGACCAGGTGAGCTCAGTGTGGTGTCCTGGACATTTTAACTCGAAGGACCAGGTGAGATCAGTGTGTTGTGTCCTGGACATGTTAACTCTATGGGACCAGGTGATCTCATTGTGACCAGGCCTGGCAAGTTAACTCTGAGGGACCAGATGAGCTCAGTGTGGTGTGTCCTGGACATGTTAACTCTGATGGGACCAAGTGAGCTCAGTGTTGTGTGTCCTGACATGTTAACTCTGAAGGACAAGGTGAGCTCAGTGTGTTGTGTTTGGACATGTGAACTCTGAGGGGATCAGTTCTGCTCAATGTGGTGTGTTCTGGACTTGGTAACTCTGAGGCACCACGTGTGCTCAGTTGGTGTGTCCTGGACATGTTAACTCTGAGGGGACCAGGTGAGTCAGTGTGGTGTGTCCTGGACATGTTGACTCTGAAGGATCAGGTGAGTTCAGTGTGACCAGGCCTGGACATGGTAACTCTAAGGACCAGCTGAGCTCAGTGTGACCTGTCGTAGACATGTTGACTCTGAGGGGAACAAGTGAGCCTACTGTGGCCAGGCCTGGACATGTTAACTCGGAGGGTCCTAGTGAGCTCAGTGTGCTGTGTCCTGTACAGGTTATCTCTGAGGAGACCACGTGAGCTCAGTGTTTTGTTCCTGGACATGTTATCTCTGAGTGGAACATGTGAACTAAGTGTATTGTGTCCTGGACATGTTATATCAGAGGGGAACTTGTGAGCTCAGTGTTTTGTGTCCTGAGATGTTAACTCTGAAGGACCAGGTGAGCTCAGTGTGACCAGGCCTGGACGTGTTAACTCGGAGGGTCCTAGTGAGCTCAGTGTGGTGTATCCTGTACTGGTTATCTCTTAGGGGACCCTGTGAGCTGAGTGTGGTGTGTCCTGGACATGTTATCTCTGAGGGCAACATGTGAGCTCAGTTTCGTGTCCTGAACATGTTACCTCAGGTGAGCTCAGTGTGGTGTGTCCTGGACATGTTAACTCTGAGGGCACCATGTGAGCTCAGTGTGGTTTGGACTGGACATGTTAACTCTGCGGGACCAGGTGTGCTCCGTTTACTGCTCAGACCTGCTTTCTTTGATGGGATGGGGTAGTGATGTCTACGTTTAATGGTGACCTTGTAAGTTCTATGTGACGTTGACCTACTGTGCTCAGTGACATGACACCTGGACCAGACACGCTCAGTGTGACCGGAACCAGGTATGTTCAATGTAGTGGGTACTGGGTATTGGTCATGTGATGGAGATAAGGTATTTTCATTCCGATGATGGGATGTGGTATGATCAATGTGACCTGGAAGAGATATGCTCCATGTGATGGGGCCCAGGTTTTTTCAGTGTGAGGGACCCAGGTGTGTGCCATGTTCATTGTATGGTAAGTGCAATCTGAGGAGGACCAGCTGTGCTCAGTGACATGACACCTGGACCAGATACGTTCCGTGTGACCTGAACCAGGTATGTTTAATATGACAAGAAGCAAGAAGGCTCGGTGTGATGGATACCAGGTATGCTCTGTGTCAGAGGTATCAGGGGACCTGCATGTTCAATGTGACCTGGACCAGGCATGCTCCATGTGACCTGGGCCAGGCAAGTCCCATGTGATGGGGAGCAGGTATGTTCCACGTTGCCCGGGCCAGTTAGCTTCAGCCTGATGTGGACCAGATGTGCTCAGTGTGGTGGTGACCAGGTATGCTCAATAGCATGGGGCTAGCTTTGCTAGATGTATTTAAGGTGATGGGAGCCTGTTGTGCTGGGTGTGACCTGGAGCAAGTGTGTTGTGGACCAGCACGCTCACTGCAATGGGAGCCAGGTACACTCGGTGTGAACTGGGCCAGGTAGTTCCATCTGGTAGGGACCGGGTGTATGCAGTGTGACCGGCAGCAGGTCTGTGAATTTGATGAGGGTGATGCATAACAACTATGCCCAATGCAACCTGGACCAGGTATGTCCAGCAAATGGGGCCCAGCTATCCCTAACTGGATGAGAATCGAGGATGTTCAAAGTGACCCGTAACAGGTAAGTTTAATGTCACCTGAACCAGTCACTCCCAATGTGACGGCGACCAGGTGGACTCCACATGTCCTGAACCAGATCTGCCCACATGACATGAATCAGGTATGTTTGATGTGACAGGGACCAGGCATGCTCAGTAGGACCTAGACCTGGCATGTTTGACGTGATGGGACCAAGGTATGATCAATGTGATGGGGCCCAGGACAAGAGCCTGGTGTGCTCAAGGTGACCTCGATGGGGTGAGTTCAACATGATGGGACTAGGTGTCCTCCGTGTCAAGGGGATCAGGTGTGGTCCACGTGACCTGGAGCAGGTGTGTTCAGTATGACGGGGACTGCTTTTGCTCAGTGTGATGGAGAGCAGGTGCACTCAGTGTGATGGGGACCAGGTGTGCAGTATGTGGTAGGGATCACGTATGTCCAATATTACCTGGACCAGGTACGCTCAACACGATGGGAGCCTGCTATGCTCAATGCGATGGGAAGCAGGTGTGCTCCATGTGACTTGAATCAGGTATGTTCAACATGCCAGGGATGAGATGCGTTCAGTGTAACACAGACCACGTATGCTCAACGTACAGGGCTCAGACATGCTCACTGTTAACTGGACCGTTATGAGGAGAGCCAGTTTTTCTCAATGCGATGGCAGCCAGGGATACGCAATATGCTGGAGGTCAGTTATGTTCAACATGACCTGGAGCAGGTGTGTTCTGTGTGAGCTGGCCCTGGTATGCTCGATGGGATGGGGGCCAGGTGTGCCCAAGCACTCGCTGGGGCCTGAAGCCACCACAGCAGCCAAGGGAGTGTCCCGTGAACACTCAGCATCAGAGGACGGACAGGAGCTGGTGACCTGGAGCGCTGTTCGGGGATGCTTCACTCGTCCATGGTCTTCTATTCAAACAGGTAATTCTACAGTTCTTCTCAAGGTTTCTTGGGTCCCGAATGAGTGGGTTTCTCAGAGGAAGGGTGTCCTTGGGTTGATGCAGCCCTAGGAGTTACCTTTGCAAGACAATGCACTCCCTGGAAGCCATCGCCTCTGTGGGGTGTGTGTGTGTGTGTGTGTGTGTATACACGTGAATGTACCTGAACCCTGGGCACATGCCTCCCTAACCCACATGCACCTGTGCCCGCATGGCAGCTGCACCTGGTATTTGCTCAGGGTGCACCTCTTCCTCTGTCGTCCCCATTATAAACTGGAGTTTATGGCTCCTTCCATCTGCATATGGAGCAGCCGACACGGGCCCCTCCTCATGGTGGCTGGCACAAGCCAGCAGCCTCAACTGGAGAAACGAGAAACAGAAAAGGGTCTTCTGCATGATGCCGTGGGACACCACTAGGATTCTCCCCCCCTCTCAAAGCTGTAGTACTGTTGTCAGGGGGAAGAATCCAGAAGGAAGAAAGGGCTTGGTCACAGACAGACGCCTTGCGGGCTCTGCATAGGCATCGCCAGCTGCTCAGCCGCTGAAGTCGCTTGTTCCCCCAAGAAAGCCCTGGGCTGCGTATTACCTAGAAAGGTCAGCTTTGCTTTCCAGCCTAATCCCCGCCCTGCTGTTGGCCGCGGTGGCGCCCGCGCCCCTGGAAGGGAAACGGTTATTACTTTCTGACTAAAGCCATCTGCTGGGTAATGAGGCCTCCATCAGGAAGGCGGCCCTTTGCTAACCTCACACCGGGAATACAGAATTCCTTTCTCTCCCCCGCTCCCTCTCCTTGACCCCTGACCTGTACTCCCCGTGCACTTGCTAACAAGGAATTCTGCACATTCGATCACCAGTTCCAGGAGCGACAGGAGGATCCGAATGGCTCGTCGGAAAGGTGAAGCCACAGAGCCCTGGAGCTTCCAGGCACTCTGCCAGGTGCTCCCCTGTGGTGTGGACGCGTTCCCTGCCGACCTCCAATTCCTGCCCAGCTGCGTGCTGCCTGCACCCTTGCCTCCCCCGGGCCCGCCCGGCCCTCGCTCCCCATGTTCCCAAGGCTGCCGCCGTCTGAGTGTTTTCCCAGCATCAGAGGGTGATGGAGAGGCTGGGGGCCAGCTGCCAAGAAAGCATTCGAGCTTTGCTTTCCTATTTCGCTTCTCTCCCGGCCCAGCAGCCAGGTATGAAAACAGCAGTGCCCTGGGTTTACACAGAACCCCTCAGCCAGGAAATCGCACACCGCTTTGCCAGCCATTCTGATTACACTCATTTTTCTCGTGGAGGGAAGTGTGTTTTCTGGAAAGAAGTCAACTGCCAGAGACTGCTCTAACCACACGGGGAGGGGAGGAGCTGCGGGCTCGGCCCAGGTGCCCAGGGACTGCCTCCTGCCAGCCCTGCCCTCTGCACATCTTTGGATGAGATGAGACCCGTGGTAAGACAAGGCACCTCCCCACGTGCTCACGGCTTGGCAGTGCGCGCCAAAGCCCAGCTGGCCCCCAAGCCCTATCCCGGTCTATTCCGTCATTCTGAAAATGGTGCTCTGTTTCAGATGCAGCTCAGCCTTCCCTAACTGTCCCTCTTCTGTAACCCCCTAGCCAGTCCCCTCCCCCAGAATGCCCCCATCTTTCTTGGCCTCCTGAATGGGCAAGACAGAGATGGGTCCCCTGTTGCTGAGTGATGAGAGGGCTGTGGTGTTTTGGATGAGAAGTGGAGGAGAGGGAGAGGAAGGGAGAGGAGGAGGGGCGAGGAGTGGGGACGTACACAGAGATCGGACTGAGAGCAGGACAGGTGTCGGTTGTATCCGGCGAGCATCCCTTTTGAGTCTACAACAGGAGGCCCAGCTATGGTATCCACCCTGCACGTGGCCAGGGTCCTGACCGCACAGACACTGCTCCCTTCTGTACCCAAGGCTGCATGTTTGAGCTCAGCGTCCACAGGGTTGGTTCTTTCTGGGACCTCTCTCCTTGGCTGGCCACTGGCTGTCTTCCTCGTGTGTCACGCATCCGTGTGGATCGGCGTCCTCATGGCTCCAGCTGCAGTGGATTAGGGTCCGCCCTGCTGGCCTCATTTTAATTCCTCGCCTTTGTAACAAGGCTACCTCTGAGCGCAGGCTCATGTTGAGGCTCTGAGAGGCAGGACCTCAACAGAGACTTTTTGAGGGAGACACAGTTCCACACCTAACAGTCATGTCGTCTCGGATACTTTCAGAAACAGGAATCGTTCTCTCCGTTTCAAAGATTGGAGAGTAGAGGCACACAAGCGAGTAGACAGCGCACCCCACAGCGCTGAGCTGGAGCCCCACAGAGAAGGGACGAGCTCCAGGCCCAGCCCTCTCCAAAGCTGGGTTGTTGCGGCCACACCATGCTGTTGTCGGAAGAAGGAAGGGGACAGCGAGTGGAAGAGAAAGGACCACACCAACCCCAGCTCCTTCAGTACCGCCTGGCCACGTGCAGCGGGATGCACATCTTTAAAATGAACACAAGACCTGCATAAAAAGTCATGGCTGGCAGTGTGGACGTTGTGAGTAGCAGCAGGGTGAGCCACAGCCTGCAACACCAGCCTCCCCTATGAGCTCCAGTTAGAGTCCCTGCTGCCCCACTTCTGCTCCAGCTCTCTGCTATGGCCTGGGAAAGCCCAAGTCCTTGGGCCCCTGCACCCACGTGGGAGACCCAGATGGAGTTCCTGGTTGCTGTCTTTGGCCTGGCCCAGCCCTGGCTGTTGTGGCCATTTAGGAAGTGAACCAGCAGAAGGAAGACCGATCTCTCGATCTCTCTCTCTCTCTCTCTCTCTCTCTCTCGGCCTTACAAATAAATATTTTTAAAACAAAGTTACAGCTGGCCAGCCCTCATTTCCATCATTTTATGTGGCAAACATGTGCATAGGATGGGAGTGAGAACCTAAGCAAATATCCAGCTAAAATTATGGAAGGCAGCTTTTCAGAATCAGCGTGCACACAGATGCGAATCCGCAGGAGACCAGCCTACAGCTCTCAGACTCCAACCAGACCAGTTAGGAGCTGGCGCAGCCCTTCCTGTGTGCCTTTGCCATGATTTAACCATGCTGAGAGCTGTCTTTAGAGTAGCTGTTGTTTATTTAACTCTATCTAAGGGCAAGAGCGAGTCTTTGGCTTATCCCATGGGCATGCATGGTTGAGCGCTGGGCTGGGCTGAAGAGCCTTGTGGGTGAGACAGAACCATGGCAAGGGGATTTCATAGCCACACACGGAGACCTTCGTAATGGTAAGTCGTTGCCACAAGCGTGCCACGTAACAAGCAGCCACGAAGCAGCAGCGGTGGATAGAAATCCACACGCAACTTCCCACTGAGAAGCTCATGGGCTCACTGGGGGTGGCTCTGCTCTATGGTGGGCGGGCTTGGGTGGCTCCGCCCCTTGTGTTTCTCACCCTTCTCCTGCACCTAGTGGGATAGCTGGGCTGTGGGAGGGAGGCCCCACTGCGCGAGACCCTGCTAGCGTCACGTGCATGAACACCTCCTCAAGCAAAGCGAATCCCGTAAGCGACCCCTGCAGCCGAGGGATGCGGAAGTACAACTTGGCCGCATCACAAGGCCGTGATGAGGGCGTGGCTCCCGGGAGGGGGCGGGGTGGAGCCAGCAATTCAAGCCGTCTGTGTCCCTCCTCCTGCTTCCTTCCCCGTCCTTGTGGAAGCAATGCGTCCTGCTCAAGTTTCTGGTGTCTCCTGACTCTGACGCCATGAGGTAGTTGGGGTTGGGAATGAGATTGCGCCTAGGGTAGCCCAGGGGTTAGCGTGCCCCGCAGCCGATCTCACTCCCTGCCACATTGGGAGTGTGCTTCAGGAGCCACAAGGAACAAGGACGCTTGACTTTCTCTGCAACATTGTCTGGGTTCGCCGCAGACACTGGCTATGACCGCATCTCCAGCTACAGGGCAGAGCTAGAGTCTGCCTGTATCCCCAATAGGACACCCCCACTCCCCACCGTGAGGGCTCAAGTACTTGCTGCTCAGAGATCTTTTAAAAGCCTTTTTGGGGCCAGCGTTGTGACACAGTAGGTTAATCCTCCACCTGCAGCACCAGTGGCCCATGTAGGCACTGGTTTGAGTCCCAGCTGCTCCTCTTCTGATCCAGCTCCCTGCTAATGCACCTGGGAAAGCAGTAGAAGATGGCCCAGGTCCTTGGGCCCCTGCACCCACATGGGAGACCCAGAGGAAGCTCCTGGCTCCTGGCTTCAGATCCGCTCAGCTCTGGTTATTGCTGCCATTTGGGGAATGAACCAGTGGATGGAAGACCTTTCTGTATCTGCCTCTCACTGTCTGTAACTCTACGTCTCAAATATGTAAATAAAACCTTTTAAGAAAATTTTTTAAAAGCCTTTTCATGTAAAAGGACCTGTGAGCTCGGCTCTGGGGCAAGGACAATCACAAGGAAGCACCGAAGAAGCCACTTCATCTGAGACAGAGCAGAGGATGGGGTGGGGGCGGGGTGAGGGAGTGGAAGGGCTGGAGGTGGGGGGTGGGGGTGGGGGGGCAGCCAGGAGTCTCCGAGAGCTCCTGGAACAACCGATTTCAAGGGAGTTGCAGGTCAGTGCCATCTTGCGTGGTAGAATCCCCCTCACAGCGACTCCTGCCCAAATTGGGAGACATTATATTGCTTAGGAAAGGCAAATTCTCGCTAAGAGACATCCATGGGTGCAACGGTGGGAAGCGACCAGGAAGAGAGATGCCTATGCATCATGCACGCTGATAAGACAGTAACCCACACGTCTATCCGTGTAGGTGCTGATCGCCCACCTTCTCCCCTAAGGGCTGATGGGCCTGCGTATTTGCAGAATTCAAAATCTGACACTTTGTCAGTTGCTGCAACACGTGTATATTTCAGGCTGAGCCCCTCAGTCCTGCCCTTTGTCATCTGGATGTGAGGGAGTCACCCCATCTTTCATGGGGTCCATTTTTCATCCACAAAACCAGGGGTGACCGACCCTTGTCTCCAAGGGTGTTGGTGACGAATAGCGGAGATGATGTGCTTGAACTTGGCAAGCAACTTTTCAGGAAGCCGGTTTCGTTTCCTGGCGTGGGGGCCGGAAGTGGATGCTCCAGTGTTCCACGGGGAATGAGTGATGCCTGGAAGTCTGGAGGAGGCAGACCTGAGGGCTTAGTCTCTGGGAATGGACATGGAGACAGTGGCCATCTGGGTATTTGTGTTGTCTTTCTCATAGAGAATGAGGTCGTCCCCAGCAGAGGGCGGGCGTCCTAGTGGCTGCGGAGGGTGGGGACAGGAAGAAACAAAGAGAACCAAGCAACCGAGGCAGGGGCAGACGGGAAATGGATGCCCACCACTCAGGACGCACGTGTTGCCACGGGACCACTGTTGAGAGGAAATGCAAGTCCTCCTCAGCTCTCGGGAGTGTGTAGTTGGGACAGACCCCCGTCACGGAAGACAGATCAACAAGAGAAATCCCAGCAAGCTTATTGCTGCCCGGGTGCACATCACAAGAGAGAAACTTCTCTGGAAGCGCCTGCAAGCAGGATCTTAGAATCGTGGCTTATGCAGCACCTTCAATGAAGACCGGTGCGTTCTGGAGAAAGATCGAGACCCTGTGGCTGGCGGCTTGGGGGGCGGGGGCAGGTTCATTAGCAAAGCTTGGAGCTCTTTGTCACGTTCACAGGAGGCAAAAAAAAAAGGGGGGGGATGACATTTGATATTTTGCAGTTCTCATTTTCTGCAAAAGGTAGGTCTAGAGGCTTGTGTGGTTTGCCCAAGGCCATGTGGGGCTAGGCATACACTACTCCAAAACGCTCGTGTGCCAAAACTGGCCTCGGCAGCTGTGGGAAAAGAGGAAGCAGGTGCGGTCCAGCCACTCCCCAGAAATGCATGCGGATGTGGATAAAGCGATAAGTCAGTGGAGGCGAGATTCCTCCAGGGCAACCATCCTAGTGGCTCTTCAGTCCTCTCAGCGCTGACACCGCCTACAAGATGCAGAATCAGCCCCACCCGTGGTCGGCCAGCCTTGAACCTGAAGCACTGGCCATGTCCCCAGTCCTGGGCACTGCTGAAACTCCCTAAGTCCCTGTGGCATGAGATGCAAGCCATAGCTGAAGCGTCTCCCGCTCTGACATTTTAAATCCTCCGGCGTTTGAATGGGGGGTGTGTGTGTGCTTGTTTCTGTGGGTTGCACTAGTGGCTGTTGGGGTGGACAGTGGCTTGTGGGCAAGGGGAGTTTTAGGTTAACAGAGGCACAGTCAGAGAATGGCACGGAAGAGGTCCAGGGAGTGGATGGTGGGGGAATGCAGAGGCCTGAAGACACTTCCCTCTATGGCAGCTTCAGGCCCAACAGCACCTGCGATGCTGAATCAGGCCACTGCTCTCCAAGGCTTCCCGCAGGGGTAGGGGGTGGTGGCCACCGCTGCTGACCTATTCTGCGTTCTTAGAAAAGGTGGTGCATTCCACGTGGAGAGGGAAGATCTGCCTCCCCCACCTCCAAAAAAAAATCGCTTTTCCTAAAACATCTCACTGCCTAAAAGTCCACTATTCGGTCCCACGCAGTGACGCAGTGGGTTAAAGCCCTGGCCTGCAGTGCCGGCACCCCGTATGGGAACCAGTTCTAGTCCCAGCTGCTCCTCTTCTGATCCAGCTCTCTGCTGTGGCCTGGGAAAGCAGTGGAAGATGGCCCAAGTCCTTGGGCCCCTGCACCCATGTGGGAGACCCAGAGGAAGCTCCTGGCTCCTGGCTTCAGATCGGCGCAGTTCCTGCCTTTGCCGCCAATTGAGTGAACCAGCGGATGGAAGACCTCTCTCTCTCTCTCTCTCTCTCTGCCTCTCCTATCTCTGTGTAACTCTGACTTTCAAATAAATAAATAAATCTTTAAAAATTTTTCATAAATATGTATTTTTTAAAAAGTTGATATTTACTTGTTAGAAAGGCATAGAAAGAGGCAGAGACAGAGAATCTTCCATTCATTGGTTCACTCCCCGAATGCATCCAACACATGGAGATAGGCATGGCCAAAACCAGGAGCCAAGGACTCCATCTAGGGCCTCCCACGTGGGTGACAGGGACCCAACTATTTGAGCCACCTCTGCTGCCTCCCAGGGTGTGCATGAGCAGGAAGCTGGATAGGAAGTGGAGGTGGGACTCAGTCCCAGCACTCTGCTAGGGGATGTGGGCAGCCCAACCGTGCTACGACACCTGCCCTTTGTGATTTAAAATTTCTGAGTAGCAGGTAATACTTCCACATTGCTGTGGGCTACAGTACAAGTTTTCAACCCAAAACACAGCATCCACTGAATCAGCCACGCAACCTGCCTTCATCTCCTTTTATTTCTTAGTGTTTGAAGTCTACGAGTGCCTCATTCCCACTTCCTTGTATGGAATATAATACACTACCGTGGACTACTGTAGAGGGTTACCCCACTGCACCATGGAACGACGGATCTTGTTACTCCTATCTGATTGTGCTTTGCTATCATGGTCAGTCTTCCCAGTCTCTAGTAAGCACTGCTT